AGGGTTTTGGGTTTAGGGCTTGGTAGGGCTTAAGGGTTTAGGGTTTAGGGTTTAGGGTTTAGGGCTTGGTAGGGCTTAAGGGTTTAGGGTTTAGGGTTTAGGGTTTAGGGCTTGGTAGGGCTCAAGGTAGGGAGGTTAAGGGTGGTTTTGGGGAGCACCCTAAGCCCAAAGCCTGTCCTAGCAGCCGTTTTTAGAATACGTATTCAGTTGATTGAGCCTTAAACCTTTGTTCTGCCCGAACAATACCCTCGTATAAAGCGTGTGGAAATACACCCTATCCTAGAAATCCCCCACACCCTAATAGATCACAGGGCCCTAACCAAACGCACATCTCCGCAACCTCCTCAGATCAAAACTCTATCCCCCGCAACGTTGTGAACCGGAAACCCTGAACACGCCTATCCCAAAAGCCCTAAGCCGTAAACCCGGATCTACACCCCTAAAGGCCCTAAACCTATCCCAAAACGCCTTGATCCCACTATCCTAGACCCCAGCCTTCAGCCTGCAAGACCCCTAAAGCCCTAAAGGCCTAAAATCTAAAGCCTCAGAACCATAAAGCTCCTAACCATCATCCTCGTCCTCCAGGGCTGCGTCAGATGTCCATGGCGCCCGCATCAGCCCCGAAGCCGCAAACTGGGCTCTTTTGGGTTTAGGTGTTTAGGGGTTTCGGGGTTTCGGGGTTTCGGGGTTTAGGGGTTTCGGGGTTTGGGGGTTTGGGGGTTTCGGGGTTTAGGGCTTTCGGGGTTTAGGGGTTTAGGTTTCCGATAAGGATGCTATAGGGGTTTAGGGTTTTGGGTTTAGGGTTCTTGGGTTTGGGTCTAGGGTTTAGGGTTTAGGGGGTCACTGGGCTGTTTTACTAAACGTTTTAAGGGCCAAACCCACTTGGAGGATCATGGGACTCAGTGAGTAAGGGCATAAGTCCCCTAATTGGGTTTATAAGTATAGGTACCTTAGTTATAACCCTACTTACTAAGTCCCATGATCCTTTAAGTAAGGATGCTATAGGGGTTCCTATAAGGATATTATGAATATAATTAGGGTTCCCAGAAGGATGCTATAAGGGTTTAGGGTTTTGGGTTTGGGGTTTAAGGGGCTCTTATAAGGTTCCTACAAGGATGCTAGAAGGGTTCCTAGAAGGAAGCTATAAGGGTTCCTATAAGGATACGATACCGAGGGCTCCTAGCAGGATACTACAAGGGTTCCGAAAAAGATACCTTACTTTTACGGGCTCCAAAACGGATGCTATAAGGGTTCCTAGAACGATACCATAACCATACGGGTTCTATACTTTGAGGTTTAGGGTTTGGTTTGGTGGGTTTAGGGTTTAGGGTTTGCTTGGTGGATCATGGGACTAAGTAAGTAAGGTTCCTTAAAAGGGGTTTCTGAAAGAGATCTTTATATAAGGGTTCTACAAGGGAGGATCACGGGAATTAGGAAGCACAGGTTATAAATACCTTTATAGGGGTTATAAGTCGAGTTACCTCAAAAACAAGCTTAGTCACTAAGTCCCATGATCCTTTATGCAGACCCTCGGGTTGAGGGCGTTGGGGACTTTCGGGTTAGGGGCTATGGAGTAGGGCATAGGGTTCAGAGAGTTTAGGGGCTGGGGTTTTCAGTCCTTGTGTACAGCCTAAGAAAGGGAACGTACGGCCAGATGCTTGGCTTAAAGTTAAGTTTAGAAGTTTAGGATTCGGAGTTCAGTTTACATGAGCCTGTCAAAGCCTTACACCCTAAACCCTTAAACCCGTAACCCCTAAACTCTGAACCGTAAACCCTAAACCTTAAACGTTACATTTACTAAGCCATAAGCTTACACCTGCTTCATCCTGGGTACTTTTTCGGGTGTTTCGGGGCTCCTTGATACCGTGATCTCCCAATACGACTAGTCCAGACTCTAACAGCTACCAGATGGTGGTTTTAGGGTTTAGGGCTTTAGGATCTTAGGGTTTAGGGTTTAGGGTTTTAGGGTTTAGGGTTTAGGGTTTAGGGCTTTAGGGTTTCGGGTTCGCTTACTTTTCACACCCAGCAGGTTGTGTGATCCCGTCATCCCTCAGGACCCAAATAGTGGTGTATGCATTGTCCGTGACGTTCTTCCTTTATCGGTACCTTCGGGCCAACGTATATAATTACTACGGTTGATGATATGAATCCTGCATTGCCTATACTACGGAATATACCATAATGCCCATAGTTTAGAGTCCTAAAGGTAATGCAGGACGTAGATCATTAATCGTATCTGGGCTCTTTGCCTTTAGGGTAATGTAGGGCAGAATCTTCGGAGCCCTTAGCATGGCATGTTGTTGGTTAGGGTTAGGGTTTAGGAGGTTCCCTAGGTATCACCTAGAGGCCGAAGAGGACCATCCACGAATTCAACAGCCGTCACCTGGAAGTACCAACACCGGATTTGTTTGTACGGACTCTATACATTTCATAATAGGGTTTAGAGTCGTCATCTGCAAAACCGTCGGTTATAAGGCAGCCCTTCACCCTCAAACTCCAAATCCACACAAGTTCCCAGAGAGCCCAATACCCCTTAGTTAAGGAAGATGCCTTAGATCATAACACTAAAGGCCCCTATAATTTAAGGCATATTCCTTATTTAAGGGGTATTGGGCTCTCCGGGTTCCTAAACACCGAGCCACGGGCCCCCCAACATCCAAGTCAAACGGTTCTCCTCAGAGCGCACCATTGAGATGTTAACAGCAAGCTTACGGTGTTTACAGGGCGTTTACGGGGTTTTGTCGGGGGGGCTTAAGGTGTTTCCAGGGGGTTTACATGGCTTTGGGTTAAATTCAGCCAAGAAGAATACCTTAAATCCTTAAATCTTAGAGGCCTTAGTTTGTACCATGATCTACGTCAACGTCACACGTATATCCTGGATGGTTCATTCGGGGCAAGGGGCTTGAAAGTAATCCTGCATTCACTTAACCCCAAAGAACAACAACCTAATCTTGCAAACCACCAAACGGAAAAGCTATGCCCTTTTTCGGCGAAGGAGCACATGGCCGTCCAGACGCGATGGCAATCGGCGCAATACGAGTCCACGCGGCACAGAGAGATGGAGTGTGAGGCCCGTTCTACTGGGTGTTTATATTTTTTGCATGCTGGGTTTATCGAGATTCCCTAAACCCTAAGCCCTGAACCCTAAACCCTAAAGTAGTGCCTGACGTGCAAGCCCGAATGGGCCAGCTTCTGCGGAGAAAGGGGGGCTATTGCACTTTTTTAAAAAAATACCTTAAATTAGTCAGAAGCTGTGGGCCAGCCTGAAGGGGTCAGGGGCCGACGAACTCGTTTTTGCACCCTCAATCTAGAGGTCAGGGATATTTACGGGGCTCGGGGATTAATTGGGCTTTGTAGTTTAGCGGCTCGTGGTCCTAAACTCTAAACCCTAAACCCGAAACCCTAAATCTTAAAGGAACTGCATTCATGGTGAGTCGTCCTAAAACTCCATGTGCTGAGTTTCCTTTACTGGTTCCTTCAAGGGTTCCTTTAAGGGTTTGGGGTTTAAGCGTCCATGTACCTGTATAGTGTCACGGCTTAAGTATACCCTAAACCCTACACCCTAAACCCCTAACTCCTAAACTCCTTGGGGTCATAGGGTTCAAGGTTCACGGATCTATTCCTTGTTGTGCTGTTAGGTTTTAGCGTTTAGGGTTTGGGCTGTTAGGTTTAGTCTCAGAATCCCTGAGACCCAACAGTGTGGACTTCGGGGCTTATACATACAAGTTTATGAATGGTTCCTTCTTTCGGCTAACTTAAGCCATTGACTAGGTCCCCAAGTCTGTTTCCTTTGTGTTGTTTTGTGCGGGTATTGCTACATAGGAGAGTTGTTAAACCGGGTACCGTTGGGTATACCGGAGAGCCCAGTTGAGCTCCCACATTAAATTCTGAGCAAAACATAACGTATAAACCCAAACCCTGCGCAAAGAAGCGCGTAGGACCCTACAGCTAAAGCAGCACAGCTTTGAAGTCTTGTAAAGCCATTGTGCCAAAGAAACACAGACCCCAACTTTAAGGCCTAAGTATGTAATAATAAACCGACCCCTCAAAAGTCCTGAGCCGCAAACACTAAATCTTAACCCTATACGCCCTAAACCCTAAGCCTTCAACACAGATAGATACGATGAACCCCAGAAAGTTGGAACATGGATTTACATAGGAGGATTGATGCTAGGATCCCGTTTACTTTAGCTGAATGGCATGAGGATATTGATGTTCCAAATTTCGGGCGTCTGCTATAGATTTAGATAGATAGATAGATAGATAGATAGATAGATAGGTAGATAGGTAGATAGGTAGATAGGTAGATAGGTAGACAGACAGACAGATAGATAGATAGATAGATAGATAGACCGATAGATAGATAGATAGATAGATAGATAGATAGATCGATCGATCGATAGATAGATAGATAGGTAGAAAGCAGCAAACACATAAATACACAAACAAATACATATATTTCTAGGTATATATATATATATACACATGTGTACATGGACCCTTGGGGGGGGGAGAGGCCTTAGACCGGGCTGACGATGTCGTTCTGGCCGACGAGGAGTCGGAGCAGGCCGAAGCCTCAAAGGCAAAGGGAGGGTAAGATAGGGGCCTAATGATTACCTGTATTATTTTGGGGGGTTCCTTATTCTAGTAATAGTATAATGGGCCCCAAAACCCCAGTCTAAGGCCCCTATATTAGTTCTCTAGTATACGAGGGTTCCTTTACAGGGGCCCATCAGGGTTCTGCAAGGGATCTCTTAAGGTTTAGGGTTTGAGGATTCATGAAGGTTCACTTCAAGGTTCATTGAAGGGTCCTTTAAAAAGGGTTTTAGAATGAAAACTATAAGGGGTACTACATGGGTTCTATAAAGAGTCTACTAGTTACTAGGGGGGTTCTATAAGGGATCCACTAAGGTTCGGCATGGTTAGCAACTCACGGTTTTGGGTTTTGGGTTTAGGGGTTTGGCGGTTCAGGGTGTAGGGTTTTATCACCTAATAATGTGTAGTCCCTATGAGAACATACTGTCATGCAGGGACTAGTTCGTAGCAGTACACGCTTATGGCCCCTGGTTTATCGGGCAGGACCTCCAAGTACCCCTGTCATACTACCCTGCCCTGCGGTCCTTGCCCGAAGGTGTTTGACTTGTGCCAGGGATAGATGCGAGAGTCTGGATAAGGTCCAGAGCTTTTGATGGGTGGCCACTACAAAAAAAAACCCCAAACACTATAATCCTCAACCTTCAAAACTTGTAAACAGACATAGGACCCGTCACTGCCAGTACAGGCAAAGGCTGCCTGGCATTGTTGGCCGTTTAGGCGGCTCTGTGAGGATGTCAGGTTGAAGATCTGCACTCCCAGATGCACCCATTCCACCTCATCACAGCGAATCCGCGGTTTTGGCCGTACAATGGCTGCCGTGCCACTGGCAACGTCGTCCAGATGGCTGCGTAATATCTGCAACATGCCTTCGGTTTTCTGGAACCTTAAAGGGTCCAAGTAATGGTATAGTATATGCTTTTCTGGGGGGCCCAAATATCTATATATCTACATATATATATATATATACATATATATACAGCTATATATATATATATACTAAGCAGCTACTACATTGGTACATGTACCCTTTTGGGAATGAAATCGAAGCCCCTCGCACTTGGGACTTCGAGCCGCTGCATCGAGGACTACCCCAACAGCGCGGCCTGAGCACCCGGCCTTGGCGACCCAAAATTAGGGTTTAGGGTTTAGGGCCCTACTTGGAGGATCATGGGACTTAGTAAGTAAGGTTTAGGGTTTGGGATTTAGGGTTTAGGGTTTAGGGTTTAGGGCTCAGGGTTACTTACAGGATCATGGGACTTAGTAAGTAGGGTTATAACTAAGGTAACTATACTTATAGTTACTTAGAACCTCAATTAAGGGACTTATAACCCTACTTACTAAGTCCCATGATCCTCCAAGTAGGGTTTAGGGCCCTAAACCCCTAAACCTCTAACCCCTAAACTTCTAAACTGCTAAAATCTAAACCCTAGACCCCTAAACATGTCCGGAGACCATTAGGAACTAAACGGGTAAGGTAACCCTTAACCATGAACTTCCAATGAGCAAAACGAACAAAGCCAACCACCCCATGCATTTAAAAGTGATTATATTAGGGATCTTAATATTGCGGCCCTGAAAGAAAGGGGCATTATTCATTATTGAGTCATGATGGTCGACTGTACCCTGAAAGACCTAAACCCTGAACCCGGTATGGTTCATGGTTTGGTCTCTCGTCTCCCGGGTACATCGCCTGGAGTTTGAAGCTTTGTTGGTTGAGCTCGGGCACCCTGTAGGCTTTACCGCCGTGCACTTTTTTAGTTCGGTGTCTCCCTAAACTGAACAGCCGGAAAAAGGGGAAAAAGGGTACTGATGTTCGGATCCCTCCACCAATCCCGTTGAAGCGGAGAGGGTTTGTAATTCAGGGGCGTACTAAAACCTTAAAGCCTCGCTGACTACAAGACCAGCCCTCAACCCGAAACCCCTAAACCCCAAAACCTGAACCATAAACCCTAAAACCCTAATCCCTAAGCCTCCAAACCCTAAACCGGAGTTCACCTGATTGTTAAGGGCTCCTGGTTCGAAACAACAAAGCTGGCTACACTTGTTTGGGAGCCGGAGCGAATTCAAACTCTAATCTAAGGCCCTGCAGCTTAGGGTTTATGAAACCAAGAACCTACGGTTTAGGGCCCTTAACACCAGAAGCGAATGAAATACCGATAGTAAGGACTCATGGCCCCAAAGAGAGGGTAGTACTGCATCTTGGGGACCTAGAAAAGGACCTTAGTTCAGAGAACTACCACTAAAAAGCCAAGAACCTAGGGTTCAGGGTTTACGGCTTTAGAGCCCTTAAACCCCACAAGCGAAAGCACCCAATGGGAGCCAGCCATCCGGCATCGAAAAAGTAGCTATGGGAAGGACTCATGGCCCAAAACAGAGGGCATTTGCAGTATGATACCGGGTAGCTGGGGCATCGAGGAGGAAACGGAGAACCCTAAACCCTAAAAACCACAGCCCTAAACCCTATTAACCCTATTAACCCTATTAACCCTATTAACCCTAATAACCCTAAACCCTATAAACCCTAAACCCTATAAACCCTGAACCCTAAACCCTAAACCTGCAGCCTTTGAGGATGATGTTGCGATGGTGCAGACGGCGCAGCTCATGGGTGCCGAGGCGGGGCGCATTTTCTTAGGGTGTGCAAGGGACAGTAGAGGTCTTTAAGGGTTTAGGTTTAGGGTATTTAGGGTTTAGGGTTTAGGGTTTAGGGTTTAGGGTTTAGGGTTTAGGGTTTAGGGTTGAGGTTGTTTTAAGTAAGGGGTTGTAGACATGCTCAAGTGCCAACTCAAGTGCAACATAGGCATGCTAAACATTGAAAACAATAATGTAGGGATCTTAATGATTCGAATAGGGTTTTGAGCTCCTTTATAGTAGAACCATAATAAAGAACCCTGCAGGGAATAGTCTTGGTAATTATTTAGGCTTCTATATTACCGCTTCAAGGACGGGTCTCAGGATGAGATTGCAGGACGCGGGGAGAACGGATTAGGGAGGGTAGCACACTTGAAAGTAAGCGTCGTGAATGTTACTGGCCAGACCCAGTATGAAAAGTCTACTTAAAGGATCACGGGACTTAGTAAGTAGGGTTATAACTAAGGTCAGTATACGTATACTTACTTATAACCCCAATTAAGGGACTTATAACCTTACTTACTAAGTCCCATGATCCTCCAAGCACCTGTCACGATGCCTGACCCTCCAGGTCCGCCCATAGTCCTCCTGCTGTTCGCTTGTCTTCAACTGCGCCCAGAAACTGGGGCAGTAGGCACAAAAACATGTCTAAAGTCTGTTCATCAATATGACGATTTCGTGGCCGTATCTGCAGATAGCACAATACCCCTTCATTGATTCAGACATATTCCTTAAAACACAAAGCCCTACATGTAAACCCTGAACCCTGAAGCAATAACAAGTCCGATCTCTTGCACGATTCTACGGAACCCTTTGTCACAAGATGTTCGGCTCTTTGGATCCAGATCAATCTTCGGCTTCGATTCAAGCTTGCAAGTTCGGACCATGAAAATTCGAATGGGGCCTTTGGAGCCGGCTTGATCGCATAAATCATAGGGGGGAATTTTCTTAGATTAGAAACATAGATAGCAGCTTCGGGTTTAGGGTTTAGGGTTTAGGGTTTAGGGCCTTGATGAATAGTAGCCTTTTTTGACTTTGCATCATTTAAGCGTGCTGGTAGTTATTGGAGGCTCCTGCACAGAGTCTTGTGCACAGAAGGGACTTCCTAGGGCTTAGGGTTTAGGGATTAGGGGGTTTAGGGGGTTTAGGGGGTTTAGGGGGGTTAGGGGGTGTAGGGGGTTTAGGGGTTTTTAGGGGGTTTAGGGGGTTTAGGGGGTTTAGGGGGTTTAGGGCTTAGGGTTCAGGGATTAGGGTTTCAGGGTTTCAGGTGTACGGATCCCAACTCCCTGCCCTGTGGAAACCAGGGTGGCGCCGCTGGGCTCAGTGCATTGGGCAACGAAGGGCTGACAGATGCAGCTCCACGCCGCTCGACTGGCGTCCCGGCGGCAAGCTGCAGTGGAGCCCTTTGTGTAGTCATCCTTATCCCCTAAACCCCTAAGCCCTAAGCCCTAAACCCTAAACCCTAAACCCTAAACCCTAAACCCTAAACCCTAAACCCTAAACCCCTAAACCCTAAACCCTAAATCCCTATCCCCTAAACCCCTAAACCCTAAACCCTAGAGCTCTCTCTCAAAGTTGAGGCTGGAAGGACTACAGTTGAGGATTCCGAAATGCTGAAAGGAATCTTTAGGGTCTAGGGGGTTAGGGTTGAGGGTTTAGGGTTCAGGGTTTAGGGTTTAGGGTTTAGGGTCTAGGGGGTTTGGGTTGAGGGTTTAGGGTTGAAGGGGTTTGGGTTCAGGGTTGAGTGTTTAGGGTGATTCCGATGTTTCAGACGAACACACCTATAGGCTATGGCTACTATGTACATAAAACAGGGGCCTTCATAGTTACCTATATTATTTTCTGGGTTCCTTATTAGAATTCGAGTAAAATGGGCCCCAAAACCTTATTCTCATTATTAAGGCCCCTACATTCGCCAATTAAGGTGGACGCATCAATGGAAGTGATTGTACGTGCAAGACTTCATGTAAATACGGCCTGCATACAAAGCCAGGCAACAAGGCGTCATGTATTCCAGGTTTTGAGCTCAAGGCTCAGAGGGATTTAGAGTGCGAGGATTGTGCTTTGGGGCGTGGGTTTCGGGCGGCGTGGTATGTTATGCAACAAAGGCAGAGATTTCAACCAAACGTCCTTGAGAAGGACTATACAAGGAAACCGTCATGGGGAACCCCAAAACAGGAAGGTTTATCCAGAGGGTCCACATATACTATCATTCTGAAATTAGCCCCCCAAAACCATAATAGGGATGGTCTTGGTACTGATTCCATAGTGGTGCTGTATATGGACCCTTCGGGTTATGGGATCCAGGTAGGTAGTGGCCGTTAGCAGGTTCCCGAAGCCGTGATCCTCAAGGTACTGTTTCCAGTGCCGTCCAAAGCCCTGTTCCTTGAGGGTCCACGTACCAAAAATGGTGTAGAAAAGGCTCCGGCCTTGAATTTAGGCCCTATATGGGCCCCCAAACCCTAAACCCTATATGGGTACTTTAGGGCCAAAGTAGATACTATTTGAGTATATGGAGCCCATGGGCTGTCGCTACGAACGCGCTACATGCTGCATGGGATGAGCATTAACATGAATTGCGAGTTCTACTTACTTGAAGTGGCAGGGAGACTTGTAAGTATCATTCCACTTCAATAAGGAGGTGACTTGTGGACGTATTAGTGCGGTTCGAAGAAACCTGAAGAAGCCTTGCTAGTACCTAGCTTCGATCTCTGTTGTCCTTTTGACTGAGATGATGGAGCATCTTCTCATACTAGGTTTTATATTAATTTAATTATAATGTCAATTAGAACTTAGAACCCTCAACCGCTCAACTTGAACACCCAGACAAATAAAACAGCGTCCCACCTCAGGCGGGGTCGACGAGCTATTGAAGCAGCTGCGGACAGAGCCCACCGACGAGACCGAATGCGCCGCCAAGTTCATGCTCTACGACCCTTGGAGAAAAATGTGAGGTTTTGTTTTGGGGGAAGGATCAAAGTCACAATGTGTACCCTAGACCCTGATCCTTGACCCTACAAGTGTATCAAGCCTCAACCCTAGAAGCTGTAAACCCTATAAACTCTAAACCCTTTATAGAGTTAGTGTCCTGTTAGCAGTTTAGCGTTTGGCGCCTAGAGTCGCGCGCAGAGACTCCAAAGCCGCATCAGGATACCTTCAACTATGGAGGGGTCCCATGCACGGACTCTTACTAGGAAGCCCTCGACCTAGAGTTTTAGGGTTTTAATCATCTTAGGGTTTTAGGGTTTAGGGTTGCTAGGGTTTTAGTGTTTGGGGTTTTAGGGTTTAGGGAGGGATGGTAGGGTGTTTCTAGTCTGCAGATAGGGAGGAGTTCAGACCAATCAGGGTGTCGCTTGGCCTGATTCTGCACTTGAAGCCTACTTAAAGGGTTATGGCACTTAGTAAGTAGGGTTATAATTAGGGTAACGATACTTGTAACCCCAATTAATGGACTTATAACCGTACCTACTAAGTCCCATGGTCCTCCAAGTAGAAGCCCGCGGCGCAAACTGTTCGTCAGCCTCCCCACCCCCACGGCCTTTGGCTTCTATAGAGGGTTTGGGGTTTTGGGCTTAGGGTTTAGGGGTTAGGGTTTAGGGTTTAGGGGGTTTAGGGTTGTAGGGTTTAGGGTTGAAGGGTTTGGGGTTTAGGGGTTAAGGCTTAGAGTTTAGAGGGTTTAGGGTTTAGGGTTGTGACTGCGTTGGCCAGCAGACTAAGGCAAATTCCATATAATCCAGGCATCCAAGGATTCGTGAACCCTGGTTTAGGGAACTATTCGAGGCAAGTTAAAACAGGGTGTGAAGAAGGTTTAAAGGTTGTGTGAAGCTATGTGCGACGTAACGGTAGGTGTAAGCAGTGTTCGTTCGTTTGATGTTTCACACATCTGTTCGAACCTGTGCAAAGAGTGCTGTGCAGAATCCTCAGGGTATTTAGACTTTAACATCCCTTCACCCTAAACCCCCGACACCCTGAAGCCTAAGGAACTACGACAAACCCGGTAAACTCCCTGCACTCTTCGTTTCCGGAAGTATAGTGATTGCCTTCAGTTGCCTTGGGAAGCTGGACAAGTAAGAATAGGGTTTAGGGTTTAGGGNNACCCTAAACCCTAAACCCCGTTAAAAAAAAAAAAAAACTAAACCCTAAACCCTAAGGAGAATAGCCCGCAGCCTGCCAAGTCTGCCAGGAAGGCTACAGCAAGGAAGTGGAGGAGGCACCGAGTGAGACCAAGGTCGAAGTTTCGGCTAAGCGTTTAGGATGCGGGGTTTTAGGCTTAGTGAACCCGAAACCGCAAATGCTAAACCCCAAAAAAGGGCTTAGGGTTAACCCTAAACCCTAAACCCTAAACCCTAAACCCTAAACCTTCCGATGTGGGGGTTCCGGGCTCAGAGAAATGGGGCAGCCTGAGGTGCTGGGGCTTCAGGATCAGCCTTTTCCAGCACTTACGGACCGTACTTAAAGGATCATGGGACTTAGTAAGTAGGGTTATAGTTCAGGTAACTATACATATATCCCCAATTAGGGGACTTATAACCTTACTTACTATGTCCCATGATCCTCCAAGTAGTTGAGTTAAGGTGACACCCTCAACTCGAAACCCTAAACCCTACTGAGTTATAAGTAACTGTGAGTATGTTACTTCATGTCTCACTTTACTTACTACGTCCCATGACCCTCTAAGTACAGGAGCTTGCATACCCAGTGGGTTCGAGAACACAACCTTGAGGCCCTCCCCCCTATAACCCTAAGTACAGGGTTTAGGGCTTTAGGGTTTAGGGTTTAGGGTTTAGGGTTTAGGGTTTAGGGTATAGGGTTTAGGGCCTAATTATGCATGACATATCTTGGTCATGAGTTAGGACAATCCCCCGATACAGACACGGACAGTCCTCCGGCAGAGAACTGGTAGGCATAAAATACACCTACACGAGCCCCTTCCAGAAAAGTATCTGATGATTATGAGTCGCATACAAGTAGATACCCGGAATACAACCCGCTTGTTAAGCCCCTTGATCCTACCAGTACTTGGAGGATCATGGGACCTAGTAAGTAAGGTTATAAGTCCTTCAACTGGGGTTATATGTATAGTTACCTTAGTTATAGAGTCCCATGATCCTTTAAGTAAAGATGTCTTGAACTCAAAGCGGCAGTTCGCTATTGTACCCTCTGCTTGAATGCAGATGCGCTCGGCACTCATCAAGTTCCACGATGCGACTTGGTTTGATTCCCCCTAAACCCTAAACCCCTACACCCTAAACCCACGGTTTTACACATTTACGGTTGCTTAGGCTGGAGGAACTTAGCCTTGCAGTCTTGCATTTCTCGCGGCCTTAATTTTCTGTGTGTCTATGCATCTGAACTCCTGCTAACCCTTACCAAAACATGCATCGCCTGTGGATTTCGTGTTTGTTGAAGGATCTTGGGAGATGAGGATTAAGTGGAGCCATGCATCCTTGCCCCCAACCCCAAACCCTAAACGTTGAACCCTGCCCTTCAGACGGGACTTAGTTCGGGTTTAGGGTTTAGGGTTTAGGGGCAGGCTTGGTTTAGGGTTTAGTGGTTTTGGAGTTTGGCTTGTGCCACTTTAACCCACATCACCAGAGGTGTAGGCTGCAAGATTGGTGGCTATAACCTTTAACCTTGAACCCCAAAAAACTTAACCCCTAAAGCCTAAACCTTAAACCCTGAGCCCTAACCCTAAACCCTGAGCCCTAAACCCTAAACCCGGAGCCCGAAACCTTAAACCCTGAGCCCTGAGCCCTAAACCTTAAACCCTGAGCCCTAAACCCAGAGGGGTTTTGGACTGCAGGTTTCAGAGCCCCTCGGCACTACCGCCCCACGGCCCACACCCAAAGCTCCGGCAATGAAGCCCTCGACTCAAAGGGGTGGTTTAGGGTTTGGGGTTTGGGGTTTAGGGTTTAGGGTTTAGGGTTTAGGGTTTAGGGTTTGGGGTTGGGGGTTTAGGGTTTAGGGTTCTCTTAATAAGGGTCCCTTTCAGGTCCCCAAAATGGTACCGCACCCTTCTGAAACGGACCCTAAAAGGGACCCGAATGTTGAAAACTACCCAAAGCCTCGCCCTACAAGGGGGGTTCGGAGGTTTTAAGAATCTACTCGGGTACTACTTAAAGGAGCTTCCGAGGACTTTACGGGTCTATCAGGGTTCCTTTACAGGGGTCCATAAAGGTTCTGTAAGGGAGCAACTAGGGTTTAGGGGTTGCGGGTGTACTTTCTGGGATTTAGTACCTGCAGGTTTTGATGAGGGTAACTCTACTGATACCTACTTACAAGCTCAGTTCCTCCAGGTGCTAAACTAAACTTGGTTTTAAACACCCTGCGTCCCTTAAGGCCTGTCTAAGCTAGGGTCCGTTTTCGGGTTGGCGGTGTTGCATGAGCCCTAACCCTGAGCCCTCACTTAAACCTTAGAAGGAAAACATTATGGTGGGGGTTCCAGCTTATCATTCTGGTATAATGTACCCCAAAACCTTATTCGCATTAAGCCAACCATAACTAAACCCTAAACCCTAAACCCTAAACCCTAAACCCTAAACCCTAAACCCTAAACCCCTAAACCCTAAACCTAAACCCTAAACCAAAGCTCTACATCCCCAATCCTCCACCCCACCCCAAGCCTTGAACCCATACTTGGAAACAATATCCAACAACAAAACCCTAAACCTTACCTAGACCCTAAAGAACCCTACCTTTTACGGACGTATATAAGACAATCATAATAAGGAACCCTAAGAGGGTAGGTTCTTTAGGGTCCAGGTAAATCTTAAACCCAACAACATAAACCCAACAACCTGAACCCTAAACAGCCCTAAACCCTAAACCCGAAACTCATTCTAAGCACCTTAAGCCCCAAGGAGACGCGACCGACTTTGCCCAGCTCGGTAGCGAGGGATCTCTCGAAGCAGGTCTTGTTCGGGAAGGAGGGTTTTAATTAGGGCTTAGGGCTTGAGGGGTTTGGGGCTCAAGGGGTTTAGGGATTCGGGTAGTTTAGATAAGTTCAGGGTAGTTTGGGGTTTAGGGCTTACCATAAGGCTCCTAATGCCTAAGAGGGTCTTGGGCTCTCTGGGGGCGAGTTTCGGCTTTGGGGGCTAGGGTTGGGGGGTCCGGGAGCCTTCGAGTAGGGTTTAGGCTGTGCACCATCCAGACAGCCCGGATCGCCAGGTATAAAGGGTTTAGGGTTTAAGGTCTGTGACAGTATCCCCTCATTGTCCCTTTGTACACCTGTGTACTCTGACATGTCATGCCCTGAACCCTGCTCCAGTTAATATTAAGGTCTCCATATTCATGAAAGCCCCAGTCCTTCGAAGAGCAGCAATTGGATTCCAGAAAACGTGGCTGACCCTAAGGGTCCACGTACCTGAATGGTAGATACTTTGCCCCCAAAGTACTCAAGTAGGGACTACTTTAAGGCCAAAGTATGTACTATTTAGCTACACGGACCCTTAGGGTGAGATCTGGGGCCCGAAGCTCCTAAAGCCCAAAGCAGGCGTCGTTGCGTTTTTGGTCTGCTAGGATCATAGTCCCAAAAGCCGCAACCCTGTTCCGCACTCCCTCCAGCCTTCTCCCGAACACTATAGAACTCGTGTAACAAGACCTCCTAAACGACCAAAGCTGAGTTTTAGGGTTTAGGGTTCAGGGTTTAAAGAACCTTAAGGGACAATAGGAGGGACCCCTACAAGGGACCCCTAATCCAAATACCCTATATAACCCTTCTATTCCGCTTATATAGTCTCATAAAGCTCCTATATAACCCCGAGGGTCCCTTTAAGGGTCCCTCCTTTAGTCCCTTGAGAACCCCGACCAACAGAAAGCAGAAGCTGAACCCTAAACCCTAAACCGTAAAACCCCAAACCCTAAACCCTAAACCTCCAAACCCTCCCCCAAACCCCCAAACCCCCAAACCCTAAACCCTAAACCCTAAAACCCTAAATCCGTGGCTTCCCCTAAAAAAAAAAAGCAAAAGGTACTTGGAGGATCATGGGACTTAGTAAGTAAGGTTACAAGTCCCCTAATTGGGGTTAGAAGTATAGTTACCGTATTTATAACCCTACTTACTAAGTCCCATGATCCTTCAAGTAGATCCCTTTAAAGGAAAACGCGAAACCTAAACCCTAAACCCCTAAACCCTAAAACCCTAAACCCTAAACCTCCAAACCCTAAAACCCTAAATCCGTGGCTCCCTCGAAAAGAAAGCAAAACGTACCTCAAGGATCATGGGACTTAGTAACTAGGGTTATGATTAACGTAACTATACTTATATTTACTTATAACCCCAATTAAGGAACTTATAACCCTACTTACTAAGTCCCATGATCCTTTAAGTAGGCAGCTCCTGCAGGTGAAGCGGATCGACTCCACCGAGGCCATGGGCATCCCCGACGAGAGTCGGGAGTGGTTCGTCTTCCACATGATGAAGCAGGACGCCCACGGAGTTAGGGCTTTTAGGGGTTCACGGTTTGGGGGTTTAGGGTTTGGGGTTTAGGGTTGACGCTTTGGGGTTCAAAGTTTAGGGTTTAGGGTTTAGGAACTTCCACATGATGAAGCAGGACGCCCACGGATCGCCACGGGGTTCAGTTTAGGGATCCTTTCAGGGATCTATAAGGGGTTTAGGGTTTTGGGTCAAGTCATGATGAAGCAGGACGCCACGGATTTAGGGTTTAGGGGTTTAGGGGTTTAGGGTTTGGGTGTGTAGGGTTTAGGGTTGAGGGTTTGGGGGTTTAGGGTTTAGGGGTCTAGGGTTTAGGGGTTTAGGGTTTAGGGACGGATCGCTGGAGGCTTCACTACTTGGAGGACCATGGGACTTAGTAAGTAAGGTTATAAGCCGCTTACTTGGGGTTATAAGTAAATATAAGTATAGCTACCGTAGCTGTAACCCTACTTGCTAAGTCCCATGATCCTTTAAGCACGGATCGACACGAATTTCAGAGGAGAGCCTTTGCATAGATGAAGCCGGCGCTGTTCTGTTCGGGGTTTAAGTTTAGGGTTTAGGGTTGAGGGTTTAGGGTTGAGGGTGGATATACGGGGTCAGATGAGGCAGGCGCCGTTGCAGAAGGTTTTCTTTGAGGATTCGTTTGAAACAGGTTCCTATCTTAATGCGCATGTCGACAGGACACCCGGGACCCTTTCTGTGGGCTCCGACTGTTTTAGTTTAGACCCCATAACGGCCTGGGATCTAAACCCTAAGTCCTAAAGCCTAAGCTCTAAATCCTAAACTTTAAGCCCTAAATCCTAAACCCTAAACCTTAAACGTAAACCCTAAACCCTAAACCCTAAACCCTAAACCCTAAACCCTAAACCCTAAAGCCTAAAGCCTAAAGCCTAAACCCTAAACCTTAAACGTAAACCCTAAACCCTAGGCTATATATCCTTGACTTGAAGCCCGGAGCCGGCTTCTGAACCCGAAAACGTAAACCACGCCTGAACCTTTAACCGCCTCAACTTAAACCCTGTAGAGCCTAACCTTATACACCGGCATCCCTCTTAACCCGGTTTAGGGTCTAGGGTTTAGGGTTTAGGATTTAGGGTGTGAGGGTGCTCGGGTTCAGGATTCAGGGTGTTAGGGTGTTTGGATTTAGGATTTAGGGTTCAGCGTGTTACGGTTTAGGACTGAGGGTTTAGGGCTTAGTGGGTTTAGGGTGTTACGGTTTAGGATTTAGGTATCTGATGCCACGTACTGGCAACTGTGATGCGACAAAGAGCACTAAGCATTTGAGATGCCGCACACATCTGGCCGGCGCCGGCCGCTTGAGTGGGTGGATGATGCGGATACGACTTGCAGCACTGCATCAATCATCCCGTTGATTGTGGCCCGCGAGTTTCTCCATCCGCGACTACGTTTTTGGGCTCGAAGCCTTTTGCACAGGACCCCCTAAACCTTTACGCAGCAGAGTGAGTGAGTGAGTGAGTGAGTGAGTTTAGGGTTTCGGGTTTAGGATTTAGGGTTTACGGCCCGCAAACCGAACCCGGAACCGAAACCTTAAACTGCTAAGCCGAAATCCGCTAAACCCTGCTTGGAGGATCATGGGATTTAGTAAGTAAGGTGATAAGTAAGTCTAAGTAAGTTCCTTAATTGGGGCCACAAGTACTTATGCGCAGCTTTAGCTTGGTTAGACCCCTAGTACTGAGTTGCATCATCTTTTAAGTAGCCCTAGCCCCCCTCACCCCGTGTAGAACCCTTCTAGATCCATTTAGGGAACCCTTTCAGTCAAGGAGCCCTATAAGGAACCCTGGGTACTACGCCCTGTGAAGCCTTCGAAGATAGCGAAGATGTGCCAGGCTGAGAGGAACAACGTGAACATGGCAACCTGGTAGGGTTTAGGGTTTTAGGGTTTAGGGGTTAGGGTTTATGGTTTTGGGCTTACCGTGGCCCGCCGTGGTTTCCGGTTGGCCCCCAAAGTAGGTACAAAAGTGGCCCAACGCCCGCAAAAGGCCATTAGTCTGCATCCGTTTGGCTTAAACCCAAAACCTTAACCCTAAACCCTAAAGCCCCGACCAAACCCGATTCCCGTTTACGATTGGGGTGCAGGCAACATAAGGGCCTGAATAATTAGAATAGGGTTTTGGGGCCCATTATTCTATAGCTATAATAGTAAGGAAGGAACCCCCAAAACAGTAGTGGTAATTATTTAGGCCCCTACATAAGGGTTGTAGGGCTCTGGTGTCTTAGGGTCCAGCGCATGTGCCGCAAGCTTTTCGAGGCCTTGACAAGGTCGTTTTTCCCACCAGGCTTTAGGGGTTAGGGTTTTAGGGTTGAGGGTTTAGGGTTTTAGGTTTTAGGGTTTAGAGGTTGAGTGGTTTAGGGTTGAGGGTTTTAGGGTTTGGGGGTTTAGGGGTTTAGGGGTTTAGGGGTTTAGGGGTTAGGGTTCTTAAGGCATGTTCTGGTTTACGGTGTGCATTCGAGCTTTAAACAAACAGGCATACCACTTGTGGTGTTTCTTGCCACCTCACGAGTCTTCAATCAGCGCTCTACGTGGAGGGGCATGGGACTTGGTAAGTAGGGTTATGATTAAGGTAGCTGTGACTTATAACCCCAATTAAGGGTCTTATGACCTTACTTGCTAAGTCCCATGATCCTCCAAGTAAGTAGGTCTCAATGTTGCAGTATTCAAGTTATAGCTCGTGGCTTGGATCGTGGTTGAAGCGAATTGCTACATGGTTGGGGTTTTGTGATCTGCTGCTCTGACCACCACCGACATAAATCATGACACGACCAGGAATAGCAGAACGAAGAACACAGTGGCTGCACTACTCATCATACAGGCAATGACAACTACTGCTGAGCTGGCAATTTGCGTCGGGGTTCTCGCAGTAAGCTCTTTAGCGTGGATGTGTCCGATCCGGGGTGGGTGGTGAAGGGTAACGTGTTTTGCTCCCGGCCATGCTTGGGTCTTGGCTGAGGATTTTAGGGTCTTGCATAGGGGTCTGAATAATTGGTCGCATTGCTCCCTCGGGCTCTCCATTATTCATACCAACAACACACAATCTGCACCAGACCACCCCCCATTCCTGCCCACAAGAAGCAGTCTGAGTGTTCAGGACCTTGTTTTTGGACTCAGGCGAAGGTGCTGGACAACTTCGAGAAAAAGCTTGAGTTTCTCGCGAAGAACGACCAACAAGAATGCTCCTTGAGCACAGACTGATCCCATTATCCTGACGCATTCACAACAACCCCCGAGTTTCTCGATTGTGGAGTTGAATATGTCTTTTACCCTTACTTAATTCGCTCTCATGTTGCGGTGGTTGGATGTGTTGGCATTAACTGCTACTATAACCACGTTTCTGCAACTGCTGTTCCTATGTCATACCTGCCATAGTCGAAGTAGTAGCATCATCTTCAGTGCTGCTTTCCCGGAGTGTTGCCCGGTGTGGGGTGCAAGGTATGGGACTTGCTCAGACCCATCATCCTTACGAAACCCTAAAACCCTAAGCCCTGAACCCTAAACCCTAAAACCCTAAGCCCTAAGCCCTAAACCCTAAACCCTAAAACCCTAAGCCCTAAACCCTCAGCCCGACCTTGACCCCAGATAACTTACCTGTTTAAGGAC